CGTTCATGGGGTTGCCCCAACGTCGCCAATGTGCCAGCAGCAGCAGCAGCCCTCCCTCCCTCCCGAGAAGGAGTCTCGAGGCTCGGCGAAGCATTCCTGGAGGAGGGGGGAAAATAAACAAAAGGGGCATTGTAATCTTCATCACATCGTCATCATTGTTGTTGGTGTTGCTATTGTGATCCTCGCGACGGGGGGTGGGGGCTAATGAGCAGTGCAATGCACCGCTCTTGGCCGGAGCGTGGCAGGGCGGCGGGGCCTCGTGAACGCGGAGGAGTCAAAATCATTCCACAAAGGGGAGACTGATCCCCTGTTTACACACGGTGGGGGGGGGGGGGCACCTTATTAACGCCGCGCGGGGCGAAGTTACGGCTCGCTTGGCCTCAGTGTATCGTGCCATTAAAGAGTATTTATTATTAAACAGGCGCACAAATACATATGCAACGAATCTGGCCCGCAGGGCTCTCCGGAGGAAACTCCGTGTGGTGGGGGGGAGGGGCGAGGTGGGGAGGTCTGCGGGGGGGGGCAGGGGGCGGCCCCCTGGAGTGATCGGCGAGGCCACACAGGCGCTGCGGGGAGGGGGGCTAGGCGGGGCGGGGGGGAAACTCTCACAATGTCAGCGGTCGTCGCGCGTGAAGCCGGGGCGATTATTGTCGATAAAGTCGATTCATTGACAAACACAAAAAAATCTAAATTGTAATCGATGATTTCTCGGGCATCATAAAAAAAAACATTGCGTCTCCATCCCGAAGGTGGGAAACCCCCTGAAAGACGAGTGGCCATTGGTGCTGATCACCTCCCGTCCAGCGGCACACGGGGGCGGGAACTGATTACTTTTTTTCTTTGCCACTGTTGACCTTGTTTTATTATTTGCCAAGCAATGGTACGGATAATTGGTAGAGTGATCGATTACTCAGATTATAATCGGATAGCCCAGATCTAATCTAAACGTGCGCTTTAGATTATTTCGATTATTTGGCTGCATTCAATGTCCACGCGACAAGCCACTTCGTTGAGCTGTCGTTTGTGGCCACGGTCGCTTCAGAAAAAAGAAGCGAATAGCTCAGTGAGCCTTACCTGGTAAAATAAAAGTTTGGATTTATTTGTGTGTTTTTTTTATTTGTTTACCTTTCCTATACTTTCCACTCCCATCGTGTTTGTGTATTGTTGTGTGTTAGTGCCAATGTTTTGACTCCGTGCCCGGAGTGGACATCTGTGGGAAAAGAGGCTTTATAGCTCATCGGATTCCTTCGGTGAACATAAATATTCTGATTTATGATTCTGAAAACTGCACTTAAGAGCGATAGGCACCGGTTGAGACACGATACGACCGTGAGAATGAGGTTAATTTAATAAATCCGTGAATCGACTCAACACGTTGGATCGTAACGATGAATCTGATCGCAGTCGGAGGTGGCGGGGGTTTAGGGCGAGTGGGGAGTGAATTGTTACCATGGAAACGATGGCAATATTATGGCAGGGGGTGCTCTGTGTGTGTTGTCGAGTGTAAATGGGGCACAGGTGGTGCATTGACCATTCATCTCAGTCAGTCAACCCATGGCACCTGGGTCTGTCCCGTGACCTCCTGCCAGCGGAGGCGTTCGCTCACCTTCACGTTGTCCTCAAACGTGCACTTAGCCTGGCACAAGCGCCGTGGTGACGTCCCCACCACTGAGTGGCGAACGGCGGCTGTTGCTGTAAAGGGGGCAAGTCGCGGTCCGTGGCCACCCCCCCCCCCCCCGCTCTGAGCCCCCAATCCAGCGACCTTGTCCCTTGCGATGGCAGAGGGCCTCTCCTCCGCTGTGTGCCAAACACGCGCCTTGGTCAACGTGGCCGAGTGCTTCATAGCCACGCGGGCTCCGAGGACAGTCTTGTTTTTTTAGTTTTTGTTGTTATTGTTTAAATCGAACGGTGGCTTTCAGCCTCGACGTGGAATCGCCCTAATGAGCCCTTCTCGAAAATCTCGGCGCTGCACCTCGAAGAGCCGTCGGCTTCCACATCGTGTACTGGGTTGGGTTTGCGAGTCATGATGCCCCAAACACTCCCCACCCCCACCTCCCACACCTCCCCCCACCACCTCGCTGTGATTAAAGTGTCGTCGAGGGCTGACTCGGCACCCAAGTGAGCGACAGGCGTGGCTGGGTAACGCCACAACACGCGGCTCAACAGTCGCCGGCCAGACAAAGAGAAGTAAATACATTTATAATAAATAAACAAATAAAGATGAACCCGCACACCTGGGGGACGGTGCTCCCCGCGGGGCTGCACCTGCCGAGTGTTGGGTGAACGTCGCAGTCCCGCGATGCGACCCCCGTCGCCCGGTGTCACCACCGTGCCCTGTGACGTCATGTCACAGGACACGGTGTCACCACCGTGCCCTGTGACGTCATGTCACAGGACACGGTGTCACCACCGTGCCCTGTGACGTCATGTCACAGGACACGGTGTCACCACCGTGCCCTGTGACGTCTTGTCGCAGGCCGTGCCACGCGCGGTCCCTCCCGGGGTGGTGGGTGGGTGTTTTGGTGGGGTGGTGTGGTGGGTGGGTGTTTTGGTGGAGTGGTAGGGTGTGGTGGGTGTTTTGGTGGTGTGGTGGGTGGGTGGACCTCCTCTAGGAAACTGAATTGGGACACCGAGAGCGCCGTCGGCGAGCGTTCATTGCCGGGCGGGGCGTTCCGGCACGAGCGGCGCTCGCTCGCTACCTCGCTCACGAGTTCTCGTAGGTGCGCTCACGGCGCACGTCCCCGCGTGCCACGTGGCAATGCGATGGCCCTTCCCCGCCTGACGTCTTGTGCGGGTTTGGCGACAGCGCTGAGAATCGACGAGGGCCCACTCTCTCATTCTCTACACTCACTCTCTACTCGTCTCTCTCATTCCCCTCTCTACACTCGCTCCACTCTCTCCACTCACTCCCCTCTCACCACTCTCTCCCCTCTCACCACTCACTCCCCTCTCACCACTCACTCCCCTCTCACCGCTCACTCCCCTCTCACCGCTTGCTCACTCCCCCCCTTCTCACCGCTGAGTCGACTGCGAATCTCATCCAGATTTTTGGCCAGAATGGCCCCCCCATTACATGGCATCCGTCCTGCGGTTATGTCAGCGCAATGATCCCGGCGGTCCGGTGGGGGTGGGAATAGGATGCGTCGTAAAAATAAACCCAACTGGCTCTCTCACACACGTTCACAACCGTCTGGACTCCTGCCAAGTGCTGGCGGGGATGGGCCACCTCATTCAGGCGGGCACGTGGCCACGCATTAAGACGTTCGTGGCTTGGTGCTGGGCCAGGAATCGCGCGGAATTTATCTCGACGCGGCACTGCCGCTTGGTTATCTGCGGGGTGTTTTGAGTTTCCCCGCTGAGATGAGCGAGCGAGCAAGCAGAAAGCAGTGAGATGGATATGCCGTAGCCTCCATTCGGGTTAACGGTAAAGGAGTCCTGAGGGGGATTTCGTTGTTTCCAATATATAAATAAGTAGAACTCTGTTCTGTCTCCGAATATATCGGGTTTTTTTAGTATGTCAGGCTATTGGCTTTCCAGACGACTAATGTTGCCCAAGAGCGTGCGTTTGTTTTAAACGAACACTGCTTGCATTATTATAAAGCATTCGTCCGAATGTCTGTGCTGCAAGTACCAAGCACCGTACATACGTACGCGCCATCGGAAGGAAACTGCGTCTCAAGACGCCGTAGCAAAAACCAGGCCAGGGGGGAAAACCACTAAAATCAGGCAGACGTAGATATCTCAACACGTTCGTTATGATCCAGGAGACAGTCACAGGGGCAGGGAGGTCCAATCAGAGGGGAATTCCATGTTACGCAAAAAGCACTGCAGAAGCAGCGGGCTGACTTTCCATCAGAGTAAACGATTGAATGTCAAGTTTTAAAGTAAATAGGGGCAGAATGCGTGCTGGTGGTGCTGGTGGTGGCGCACTCAGTGGTGGAGCGCATGGTATTGGAGGAGCACTCAGTGGTGGAGTGCGTGGTGGTGGTGGAGCACTCAGTGGTGGTGAATTTTTGTCTTTGAAAGCCACTTTGAATTTTTGTCTTTGAAAGCCACTTTGAATTTATGTCTTTGATAGCCACTTTGAATTTTTGTCTTTGAAAGCCACTTAAGTTTTGTCTTTGATAGCCACTCTGAATTTTTGTCTTTGAAAGCCACTCTGAAATGTTTTATTTGATAGCCACTCTGAATTTTTATCTTTAAAAGCCACTTTGAAATATTTGTCTTTGAAAGCCACTGAATTTTGTCTTTGATAGCCACTCTGATGTTTTGTCTTTGATAGCCACTCTGAATTTTTGTCTTTCAGAGTTGTTGGGACTTTTTATTGACTGTTTTTTTTCTCATGAAAAAGGGACCCGAAGTCTTAACTGGGTTCCTTAGCCAGCAAGACAAGAGGCCTGGTCAATACATCAAAGAGATGGGACGTGAATATCAGTCTGCTATTGGATCTGAGGTCGTGGGTTCGATCCCGACCCTGACACCTGCTATATAATCTTGATTTGAAGCTTTCGTGACTGCAGGAATCCATACTCTTTGGTTCTTTCGGTAAAGTCATGTAGGTATAAAATGAAATGAAATCACGACGTTTCGGGCGCAACACAAGCGTCCATCATCAGGTGGGATAAATTTGGGAGTTTGTGTGTCTCTCTCCGCGTGGCCACGTGGATTTTCCTCCGGGATCCCTCCGGTTTTTCCCTCCACATTTAGAATCAACATCACACGTTCAGAGTAATTGGCTGCTATAAATGTCTACGTGATGATGAGCCACTCCGTTGAACTATCATTTTGTGATAGCCAGGTCGCTTGTGAAGAAAGAGCTACACAGCTCAGTTGGCCTTACCCGGTAAAATAAAAATTAGTTAATAGCTTTAGTTTTTCACTCCTGCAGATTCGTCGTGGCGCACAGCGGCAACACACGGCTGACACGTACATTCCGCTCGGTGTTTTTCCGACCGTCCCCCCCTCCCCACCGCCACTGCCCCCCCCCCCCCCCGCCTCAGGACCGCAAGCTGTCGCGCAGCGAGCGGCAGAGGTTCCGCGAGGAAGCTGAGATGCTCAAGGGGCTGCAGCACCCGAACATCGTGCGCTTCTACGACTCGTGGGAGACGAACGCCAATGTCAAGGGGAAGAAGTGCATCGTGCTCATCACCGAGATGATGACGTCCGGCACGCTCAAGACGTGAGGCTCACGCGCGCACACGCACGCACACACACGCACACGTACTCGCACGCGTACAGTGAGGGAAAAAAGTATTTGATCCCCTGCTGATGTTGTACGTTTGCCCACTGACAAAGAAATGATCAGTCTATAATTTTAATGGTAGGTTAATTTGAACAGTGAGAAACAGAATAACAACAAGAAAATCCAGAAAAACGCATGTCAAAAAATTTTATAAATTGATTTGCATTTTAATGAGGGAAATAAGTATTTGACCCCCTCTCAATCAGAATGATTTCTGGCTCCCAGGTGTCTTTTATACAGGTAACGAGCTGAGATTAGGAGCACACTCTTAAAGGGAGTGCTCCTAATCTCAGCTTGTTACCTGTATAAAAGACACCTGTCCACAGAAGCAATCAATCAATCAGATTCCAAACTCTCCACCATGGCCAAGACCAAAGAGCAATCAAATTATTAAGAGAAAAAGAGAGCAATTGTGGAGACATCTCCTGGTAAGTTTTTCAAGAGCGTAGAGAGGAAACACGAGCACCAAAGGGAATTAGCATCTACATCTGCAGAACATGAAGAACCAGTGGCATCTACATCTGCAGAACATAAAGAACCAGTGGCATCTACATCTGCAGAACATGAAGAACCAGTGGCATCTACATCTGCAGAACATGAAGAACCAGTGGCATCTACATCTGCAGAACATGAAGAACCAGTAGCATCTACATCTGCAGAACATGAAGAACCAGTGGCATCTACATCTGCAGAACATGAAGAACCAGTGGCATCTATATCTGCAGAACGTGAAGAACCAGTGGCATCTACATCTGCAGAACATGAAGAACCAGTGACATCTACATCTGCAGAACATGAAGAACCAGTGGCATCTACATCTGCAGAACATGAAGAACCAGTGGCATCTACATCTGCAGACCATGAAGAACCAGTGGCATCTACATCTACAGGAGATTATACAACTTTTAAAGCCATTCCCCGTGTTTAGTGTACATGCCGTACAACTTGTTTCCAATTGGCAGGAGTAAAATTGGACTTAGGAACAAATCGACTTACGAACCCAAATCGTTTGTAAGTAGTTGAGTCCCTGTAACCGGTAAACTACATCTGCCTGTGCAGCATAGCGTCTCGGTGCTCGCTATAAGAACAGCACGAATGCCATCGCCAGGACGTTGCAACGGTTCAGGTGAGATTAAATGTAAGGCGCTTTGAGTTGCCGAGGCGTTTAAGATGAAAAGCTTCGGGGGTAAAAGTGCAGCCCTGAAATTGATCGCTCTCACCAATGATGGCAGAAGGGCCTCCACTCTTGAAAGGCCCTCGAGGAGTATAGCTTGGCCTAGGAATGGCTTCTTGCGTTGAGTTTGTTGGCCTCCTCCCGCACACACCTGCAATAAGCAGTTGGCTACGTACGGTTGCGAAAGAAGTTCAACACACATACAAGTCTTGGAAGAGGTGGCAGTGCCCACACCTTACACCACCGCACGTGACTTGCCCCACCTGCTAGCCTGTGAGGAGGATTCAAGAAGCTGGCACCGTTGTTTCATCTGCTGCGCTGGGAGACTGAATTGCACAGGTGACCTCTGCATTGCAAGTACACTATCCATTGTAATGTAGTGTTTTTTTATTATAATAAATAAATATATAATGCGGCTCCCCGTTGTGCAAGGGGGTGGCCAGAACCGGCACCAACAATTGCCCAGTCCATGCGTGGCCTGCCGATAGGAGGCGACACTCGCTACGTGGCAGTGCCAGCGGATTGAACCGCTGCGAGTGGGCGCAAACCCAGAGAGGTTTCTTTTTGTGAGCTGTGCCTTCCTTTCCTTTGAGAGCGCGCTGGTAGGCGATGCCCCCTGGATCGCAGAGAGAGCGCCGTGAAGGTGCTCTCTCTGCGATCAGATGCCAATGTGCCAACCATGCGGTCCTGCGTAGGACACACACACACAACAACAACAACAAAACACAACAACCCCCCCCTCCCCCCAATGAAAAAAAAAACATTAAAAGCAATGGAAAAGTACGGCCGTCATCCGACGTGCCGGCGCTACTACCTGGCACGCGCGGGCTCATCAATCATGAGAGGGCAATCGCGATACTTTCTTGACAAGCGCACGGTGGTGTTTAGTTATTTAATTAGACGCGTTTGTTCGGTTCGCTTTGGGTGGCGGGGGGTGGTTTTTTTTTTGGGGAAAACGTGGGCCGAGTTTGAAGGAGGAGGAGGAGGAGGGGGGGTGGAGGAGGAGGAGGCGTTGGAATCGGGCGATGTGCCACGTCAAATCCACCCACTTTGTTACTTCCCTCCCGCACCGCTGTTCTGTGCTGTGGAAGGCCAAGGGCGTAAGATGATTGAGATAATTTGCCAGCGACGGTGAGATCTCAAAAGATCGCTGAAGGCAACCGCTGTTGAGAGGAAAAATACAAACCTCAATTCCCCACACGACGCCTCCAATTGTATGCAGTCACGTGACGTACAGCCTCTTTGTCAGTCTTTATCAATACACTGCTGTGTGAATGCCACGCCATGACTTTTGGTCATGTTGGTCATTGTTTGACCGTACTTCATCACACTGGACATCCGTGAAAAAGAGCTTCACAGCTCATCGGATTATTCCATAATAAGTTAAGATTTGGCGTTTCTAAATAAAACGTTTCTGATCAGTGCAGATTGCTGAAGGGCGGTGGGGTTGGGGAAGGGTGCCAGTCCGGTTCGGATATCGCTCGTCACCGGCGTTATAGCCGCGGCCACGAATCGAACTCACATGGCCAAGGGTTCGCAGTGCGCTGACCGCTGGCACCACCGCTCCACCTCGGTGAGAGCAGAGGACCCAGGCCGACGCTCCCCGTCGTCAGCCGCACTGTGCGCTCGGCAGAGAAGCGTCCCACACAAACATGTCACAGGCGAACCACAATACCTTGCTTGATCTCGTCAAGGAAGATAAACCATCATAAGGCAAACTCCGGTCACCCTCGCAGCAGCAGCGGCTTTTGATTAGCCATCGACCAAAGACGGTCACTGCATCGCGCACTTTCGGATACGCTTCTGTGGCCAGCTGGAACACTCTTCCTTCCGATATTAGGAAGCAACTAGAGCTATGGACTTTTAAATCGATATTGACAAACTTATTAATTTAGAATTGTATTCTTGGTTCTTTCGGTAAAGTCACGTAGAAGGGAAACAATAAAATAAAAAATAAAAAAATTTGCACGACGTTTCGACTGCAACACAAGCAATCATCATCAGGTGTGAAAACCACAGCAAGAAAATTTCAAATTTTTTTGCTGTGGTTTTCAAATTTCAGATATTCTTGCTGTGGTTTTCACACCTGATGATGACTGCTTGTGTTGCAGTCGAAACGTCGTGAGAATTTTATTGTTTTATATTTTTATTATTTTATTGTTTCCCTTCTACGTGGTGACTTTACCGAAAGAACCAAGAATATGAATCCCTACAGTCACGAAATCTTTAAATCAAAATTTAGAATTGCTTTGTGTGTTTAGTTTGTTGTCCTTATCGCGCACCTCTGATTAGCACAGTTGGCTACGTACGGTGCGAAATAAATTCAACATATGTACAGACATATGTCGCAGATACCAGTGGCTTGGGTCAGTGCCAAGATTCTATGTAAGTGCCTCATTAATGTGGAAAAAACCTTTTCAAGTTGTCTTATTTGTTACGTCTTAGTTGTTTACGCAATCGAGCAGTTTAAAGAACCGGATAAGTAACTGTGAATAACCCAACTAATAACAGCAATGCATTGTAATTTATATGACTACATTAACCCCCCCCGACCCTCTGGTCTTCACACCTGATTGGCTTACAGTGACGACATCACATCTATCGCTCTGTTTTAAAACCGAAACAGGAGGCGGATTTCTCCACAATTCTGGCTGTCGCCTGATGATGCTGGTTGTAATTACCGGCGAAAAGTCATGCTCGTGTAGTAAGTGTTGTGGGTTTACTCTCCGAAACAACCGGTTAGTGCTGAACTAGTAACTAATTGGCATGTTTTCTTTACCTGACAAACCTTACTAATTGGCTGTGTCGGGTGGTGGCGGGTTCAACGACACATTTCTATATTTACGCGATCTACCCCAAAAAAAAACTCTCTTATGGATAGCATTGGTCGCGAAAGCCCTACTGCGTGTGAAACTAAATAAATAACTCATGTTTCCCGTTTGTGTCTCTCCAAATAAAATAAAAATATAAATATTATGTTTACATATCCCATAGGCCTCACAGGCATGTGGGAGTGCATTGTATTAGCAGCATGGGTTCTTTGACCAGTTTCAACGTTCATTTCCTCATCAGCAGAGTGTGAGGCTTGCTGGAACCAATGCTGGTGAACTTCCAGATGCTTATAGGCTATAGATGGGTCCCAGTTCGACGCAGAGCTATGTAATACATAACACACAGTAATAACACTTTTTGAAGCATCTGGTTAAGATTATGTGTTTGAGGGAGAGTTAAAATTGAAGCGGACGTGATACCAGCCACCACAAAAGACAGGATTTCATGAGGGGAGATTGTTAGGATTAGGATGTAGCTAAGAGGGATTATATGGACTGTATACATCGAGACAGGTCAGCCACGTGATTAGCTGAGTCAGCGGTAATAACGACGACAGATTTAACGCATTTGGTGGCAGCTTTAGGTGCCAGTTCCAATCTAAATCCCCCAAAAAGAGCAATTTGAGGTGTAATTGAGGTTTGCCAGCCCTGAGGTGCAAAACAACCCCATATATATCTCACAAGAATAATAAGTAGAATATCCCACGATACCTGACGAGGGGACACTACTTGTAAATGCATCGTCCAGAGTGATGTATCATCATCATCATCATCACTATTATTACCGCATTATAGTTATGCATACCGGACAAAAATGGGGAAGACTTACAGATTCCCCGGTATGGCCACGTCACGAAAGAGGAACGATCCACGGGGAAACCAGGACGAGGATGGCGACTCCGGCTGTGATGACGACGACGACGAGAGGCCACAGCGGGTGACGCGGAGCGAGGTAGCGACGTGTCGGGGCGCCGTCGTTCGGCTCAAGGGGACCGCGGGGGCGTTTCCGTGCCGGTGTTTAGGTTGTCCCAGGCTCAATTATTATTATGATTATATATATTTTTTACCGCTCACGGCGGTTCGTGCCCCACGGCCCCTGGCTTCAACCTCGTCGATGTTTTTTTTTTTACGACCAGAAAGCCGGCAACAACAAAAAAGGAAATAAACTACCGCCGTCATCGACGCCATCCCCCTCGCAAAACTTCACAGCCACGGGCTGCCGATACGCTCCGGATTTTACAACCGCCCTCCTGTCGTGCCGATTTAAATTCTTTATTTCTATTTAACCGACCATTCGGCGATAACTGCTCGCAGTAACACAACGTCCACGCGATGAAGCAGCAGCAGCAACACGCTCCCGCGCGGGTGAACGTTGTCGCTCGGTGAGAATGGACTGTCGCAACGCGTCACGACCGCCCTGGCGTTATACCGAGAGTTGAACGTTGAACGGCGGTGTTGACGTACAGAAGAACGCACCCCCCCCACCCCTCCACGCCAGCCACCACGGTGGCAAGATGTTGTCTCCCTCACCGAGTATACAGGAGGTCGGGGGTTCGATCCCGACCCCGACGCCTGCTGTATATTTGGGCTTTGCATGGTTCTCCCTGTGGTCGCGTGGATTTTTCTCCAGGTCCCTTCGGTTTTTCCCTCTACGTTTAGAATCAATGTGCGTTTTGATCATTTGGCTGCTATAAGTTTCCACGCAATGACAAGCCACTTCGTTGGACTCCCGTTTGTGTCCAGGTTGCTTCTGAAAAAGAGCTATACAGCTCGATGGGGCCTTGCCTTTACCGAAAGAACCAAGAAGATGAATCTCTGCAGTCACGAAAGCTTTAGATCGAAAGTTAGTTAATAGTCACGCCAAGACGTTTGGCCATCGTGGAAGGATAGGCCAAAACTCACCTTGTAAGAGGGGCTTCTCCAGAGCCCCCTCTAGTGGAGGCCCTACCACCAGCGGTGATGCGAGCGAGCAATTTCAGGGGCTGCACCTTCACCCGTCCGTTGCTTCTCGCTGTGGAAAAGCACTCGCTGTAATTAAGCAGCCTCGCGATACGCGTTCCACGGGGCGACAATGGGGAAGCTTTAGCGGTGGACAAAGCAGGCGTGGTCGCGCGGCACAATAGTCGTATCCTTGGACATGGTGTCTTTTGCGAACAGCCTATCATCGTAGAGACGATGTCACATTGCGTTGGATACTTTTTTTCACGGGATGGCGTGTGCTCAGCATACAATGTTCCGGAGAACCCCCCCTCCATCCCCCGCCCCGCCATCCCCAGGCAAATGGGAAATCGTCACGCCGAGTGCCATCCTAAAGGGTTCCGTTTGAATTATGCATGGCCGGGTGTCACGACGCGTCTCTCTCGTCGGCGATCACATGCGGAGGAACTATGAAATGATCCCGAGAAACTTGCCCCTTTCGGTCAATGTAAGCCAGAGTGCTTTTCCTGCTCGCTCAAAATGAGCAGCGCTCCGGTTTGCAGCCCCGAGCCAGTGGTGGAAATCGCCCATTCCCACGCCAGCAACGAGAGTCCGACTTATAGGACAACCGCTGTCGGACCTCCCCACACAAAGTGGCGCCTTCATTTGATTGACAGACAGAGGGGCGACAATGGGCCGAGTCGGCCCCGCTACCTGAAATTGACCTTACGACCTTTCGATGGTGTGCCACCCCCACTCGACGGCAGGGCCACCAGACCGGCTATTTTAAGGCACCACCCAATAGTCTCGGTTAGTTCCCCAAATAGTTTCCCGGATTTAATTTTTTTTTTTACGAATCTACTTTCTGAACTCTCTCAACTCAAAACATTAGAATGGTGAGAGCGTTTATAGAAATTGTCAGGTTTTTTTTTTACATTGGTCAAAGGTCATAGGATGTACAAATACCGTAGGTCCTGGATTCTTTCCAAGTAGCATACATTTTTTTTATTTTACCAGCAAAGGCCCACTGAGCTATACAGCTCTTTTTCAGAAGCGACCTGGCCACATATGATAGCCCAACAAGTGGCTTGTCACGTGAAAATGTATAACAGCCAAATACTCAAAACGCATGTTGATTTTAAATATGGAGGGAAAAACCGGAGGACCTGGAGAAAAATCCACGCGACCACGGGGAGAGAGACATGCAAACTCCAAATATACAGCAAGCATCAGGATCGGGATCGAACCCACGACCCTCTGTATACCAGGCGAGGTAGCTAACAACTCACCATCGTGGCGCCGACTCGACTCTGTACGATGGCACACTGACTCAACTAAGTTGTGCTGCGGACATGCAGACTGGCGCGCGCACGAATGCATTCGTTTACAAAGTAGATGGAGCAGCAGAATGGAGCAGCAATGACTCACGTCGTTTGCAGGCAAGACAGCAGCACAATCAGACGGCCCCCCCACCCCCCACCACAAGCTCTTGCACCGACTGTCGTCTTACGCAACGTTGCCTTTGTTACGCGGAAGGCACAACGCGGAGCCATCATTACCTAATGTAAATATTATTTCCAGTGTAAATTATGCACCTCCATACGCATCCGCGTGCGCGTGAGCTTCTATTATGTGGTCTAAATTGAAGATGTGGATTTTATGTGTGTGTATATATATAAAAAGAACATGGCTGAGTAAAGCATCATTAATTTGTAATTTAGTTGTGTGAATGGGAGACTCGGTTTCTTAAAACAAACACAAGACAAAGATCTCCCCCGTATAGCCTTAACAGACTGTTGGGGCAAGTGCTGTTGGCGAGCACCTATGAAGGCCGGCACGGCACACAAGCGGGTATTTGGCCAACACCAACAACAACAACCTCCATTCGCCACTAAGTGGCGGTGACGTCACCATGGCCCTTGCGCCAGGCTAGGTGCACTTTGAGGCCACGTGAAGTGTCGAAGGCTCGCTGTATTTTAGCCGGCCGGCGCTGCGCTCGTTGTTGTGAGCGTTGCTCCTCTGCCCTCCGCTGTTGTTGGGCTGCGACTGCCTGGAACTGCCCAGTCACATCCTTCACCAGCACCCCTTCATAGAGGCAGATTTTGACACCGCTGGTACCAGTCTCCAGCAAGTCCACTCAACTCACATCCTCCTGTACCGAATCTCTTCTCTAGCCCATGCTGCCCTCGTTTAGCCCCCTCTGTCCGGCCAAACAGAAGCTGCTTGTGCAAGCGGTGGCTGCTGAGGAATGCGGGCTACATGACCCAGCCAATGCAGCCTCGCCTGCCAGAGGAGCTCTCTGACCGGACTGTGTCCAGAACTCTCATGGTTCTACATGTTTTTCACACTGCAATCCAGCCTGTTTAAGCTCAGGATAGATCGTAGGCAAGCCAGCCAGAATGTTTCAAACCGGTGCAGATGTTTCTTCAGAAGGGTCCAGGTTTTCGGCAGCATAGAGCATAGAGAGGGGAGGGCATAACTGTGGCCAAAAAGACCTCGCTGACAAAGACCTCGCGGTTAGCTTGTAACAGTGCTGTTAGCGAATACCTATGAAGGCCAGTACAAATTAGTAGCTGGGTGGCCGGCACCATGCCCATTGGCGATGTTTACACAGCGGACCAGGTTCTCATTAGAGGCTGAGTCGACCTAGGGGAGGCCCACACCCGTTCAGATAATTATCGCCACCAGCGTTGGCCATGAGCGGGAATGAAACTCGGCTCGCTGGGTTCATAGCGCAACTTGCTAACTGCTGCGCCAGTGCTCCCCACAAAGACACAGACACACACATGCACAAAGACACAAACAGCAGGCACACACCCACCAACAACACCCACCTGACAGCTGCGTGCTTGCCTGCCCTTCCCCGCACCACCCACCACCCCTGCCCTCCCGTAGCTACCTGAAGCGCTTCAAGGTGATGAAGATCAAGCTGATGCGCAGCTGGTGCCGCCAGATCCTCAAGGGGCTGCACTTCCTGCACACGCGCGACCCGCCCATCATCCACCGCGACCTCAAGTGCGACAACGTGTTCATCACGGGGCCAACGGGCTCCGTCAAGATCGGTGACCTGGGCCTCGCCACACTCAAGAGGGCCTCCTTCGCCAAGAGCGTCATCGGTGAGGGGCGTCGTCATCGTCATCATCGTCATTGTCGTCATCATCATCGTCGTTGTTGTCGTCATCATCATTGTCGTTGTCATCGTCATTGTCGTCATCATTATCATTGCCGTCATCATCATCGTCGTCGTCATCGTCATTGTCATCATCATCACTGTCGTTGTCATCGTCATCATTGTCGCCACCGTCGTCATCATCATTGTCGTCATCGTTATCATCGTCATCGTCGTCATCATCATCATAGTCGTCGTCATCGTCATCATCATCATCGTCGTCGTTGTTTCGCGTCGAACCCTGGTCCACACGGTAGGCGCAGCACTTTGACACGGAACTTACCACCGTGAGTAATGGCTTCCACGCCGGCCCCTCTCCCCCCACCACCCCCCACCCCCACACGCCCCCCCTTCACCCCCCTCCCGCGCGGGGCGGCACGATCGCGGTGACCCCCCCCCCCTCCGTCGTTGTCGTCGCCGCAGGCACGCCGGAGTTCATGGCCCCGGAGATGTACGAGGAGCACTACGACGAGTCGGTGGACGTGTACGCGTTCGGCATGTGCATGCTGGAGATGGCCACGTCCGAGTACCCCTACTCCGAGTGCCACAACGCTGCACAGATCTACCGACGCGTCACCAACGTGAGTGTCGGCGTGCGCGCACGAGTGCACGTACACACACGTGAGTTCACGTATACACACACGTGAGTGCACGTACACGCGCGTGAGTACACGTACACACACGTGAGTTCACGTATACACACACGTGAGTACACGCACACACACGTGAGTACACGTACACACACGTGAGTTCACGTATACACACACGTGAGTACACGTACACGCGCGTGAGTACACGTACACGCGCGTGAGTACACGCACACACACGTGAGTACACACACACACACGTGAGTACACGTACACACACGTGAGTACACGTATACACACGTGAGTGCACGTACGCACACGTGAGTGCACGTACGCACACGTGAGTGCACGTACGCACACGTGAGTGCACGTACGCACACGTGAGTGCACGTACGCACACGTGAGTACACGTACACACACGTGAGTGCACGTACACACACGTGAGTACACGTACGCACGCGTGAGTACACGTACACACACGTGAGTACACGCACACGCACGTGAGTGCACGTACACACACGTGAGTACACGCACACACACGTGAGTACACGTACACACACGTGAGTACACGCACACACACGTGAGTACACGCACACGCACGTGAGTGCACGTACACACACGTGAGTACACGCACACACACGTGAGTACACGCACACGCACGTGAGTGCACGTACACACACGTGAGTACACGCACACACACGTGAGTACACGCACACACACGTGAGTACACGCACACACACGTGAGTACACGTACACACACGTGAGTACACGCACACACACGTGAGTACACGCACACGCACGTGAGTGCACGTACACACACGTGAGTACACGCACACACACGTGAGTACACGCACACGCACGTGAGTGCACGTACACACACGTGAGTACACGCACACACACGTGAGTACACGCACACACACGTGAGTACACGCACACGCACGTGAGTGCACGTACACACACGTGAGTACACGTACACACACGTGAGTTCACGCACACGCACGTGAGTGCACGCACACGCACGTGAGTACACGTACACACACGTGAGTACACGCACACACACGTGAGTGCACGTACACGCACGTGAGTGCACGCACACGCACGTGAGTGCACGTACACGCACGTGAGTACACGTACACACACGTGAGTACACGTACACACACGTGAGTACATGTACACACACGTGAGTACACGTACACACACGTGAGTACACGTACACACACGTGAGTGCACGTACACACGCGTGAGTGCACGTACACACGTGTGGGTGCACGTACACACACGTGAGTACACGCACACACACGTAAGTGCACGTATGCGCGCGTGTACCTGCAAAGACAAAGGTACCCCCCCCCCCCCGCCCACCGTACAGCCTTGGGCAGGTTGTAGGGGCAAGTGGCCAGTTGCGAACGCGCGACCGCTGTGCTACGCCACAACTCACGTGCATTGTCTGCACCTGCAGACGCGGCTGCAGACGGCTAGACGCACACTCACGCACACGCTCACGCAGAAACACGAACGCACGCGCAGACACGGACGCACACTTTACGCGGAAAGATTCGCGCGCGGGCGCAACACGCACAGTGCACGGACACCCACGTGGTGGGATAAAGTTTGGGTGATCCATTTCCAAGACGTCCGGCCGGCGTGGAAGAGTAGGCCATCATACCCACTGGAGCGGCTCTGATGGCATCAGCAAGCAATCGCAGGCAGGGCTGCACCTCTGACTGAGCGAGAGGGTGAGCGAGCGGGTTTAAGCCCAACACGGTTTTTGAAATCGTTTGCCATCGATGCCGTGAGTCACGGCCTCGGCTTGCGTGCGGGTCGCCGGGATCGGAGCGTCAGCGCGTAAACAACGTCGTCACTGCAGCGCTTGCGGCGCAGGAAAAATCTCCCACACGGCGTCTCCAGAATGAGCCGTCTCTTCACTCGACACTGCTTTTGAAGCCAAAACAATGATCCTCCGATCAGCACGGTTGGCTTCAATATACATACGTATATATATTTTTGGGTTAGACCACGTGGTAGTATTAAGCATTGGGTCACAATTCGTCATGATAATTAGTTAATTTCCATATCACCAGTACGTGTATCCTACTCCAGGGTGGCGAGATGTTAACTCCCTCGCCTGCTATACAGGAGAACATGGGTTCAATCTCAACCTGTACGCCTGTATATGGATTTTTCTCCGGGTCCTCCGGTTTTTTCCTCCACATTTAGCAACATGCGTTGAGAGCATTTGCCTGGTAGAAATTTCCACGTGATGAGCCACTTCATTGGGCTATCGTTTGTGGCCAGGTCGCTTCTGAAAAAGAGCTGTATAGGAAATATATATTGAGCTGTAAAGGAGCTTAGTGGGCCTTACCTGGTAAAATATAAAAAAGTTGTATTTCATCCTGTTTGCCAAGAACCTGACACCAATGGTATATGGCGATGTGCTTTGTACATCCTATGACCTTTAACCTATGGATAAATAAAAAAACACTTTAACCATTTCTGGTCAGGTCACTTTTGAAAAAGAAGCTGTATTTAGCTCAGCAGCACGTGCCATACTAGTATCGGCAGAAGAACGGAACTGTGACGTGCCCGTGTGCTCAGGGACTTTACCCTTGCCAGAAATCTCAAGTCAGTCGACCCGTGGCGCCTGGGCCTGTCCCGTGACCTCCTGCCAGCGGGGCGTTCGACACTTCACGTGGCCTTAAAGTGCACCTAGCCTGGCACAAGCGCCGCGGTGACGTCACCACCACCTAGTGGCGCGTGGCGGTTGTTGTTGTTGTTTTCTACTGTTGCCACTCCTTGCGCTCGACAATGCCCCCGCTTAGCCGACGTGCCACAGATCACCCGGCGGCTGGAAACCCCCGACTGCAGCCGGATTCGTAAGTTACCACCCGGAGTCCGTGATGCAATTGTCCGGCACAAACGCCTTTACCCTTTGTGTGCGTCGTGACGTAAGGCGAGCGGTTGGTCAAGGAGCCGGGGGAGGGGGCGGCAGACGGAGCCGGGGACCATTGTGCCCGTTGGCAATGAGTCATGCGGTTGGGGAAGGGACCGACCGACTTATCAGACGGTCCTCCTCGTGATCGCAAAATCTACTTGGAGAAGGGGCACCCATCGGACTCCCCCTGTCCCCCCTTAACCACCCCCCTGCCCTTACCCCCCCCCCCCCCTCCTCCCCATCCACCCGGGCGATTGCGACGGTGTCTGAAGACGGCCGGAAAAAACCGAACGGCTCCTCTAAACCTGCGCGCGCTCGGCACAAACCCGCCCGGGGTACCTCTCGCCAAGGCAGAGAGACGGCAGCGAGGAACAATTCAAACGATTGATTGCCCTTCTGGCCTTCTGGAATGACAAGAATCTGAAACTCTAGAAAATTCTGGGTTTTTTTTCTCTCTCTCTCTCAGCTAGTTTTTCTACGCTAATTTATAGCGCCGTGTGTATTTTTTGTCGCTTATGTCATCTACGGAACCCCTCACCAAAGGCTAAGCATCTCTCTCTCTGTCAAGGCTCAAAGCCTCAACTGTTAGTCACGGATAAGATGGCTCATCCCTCCACAAGTGGCTTCAGCTAACGAGCGAGCCAATTACTTTGGCATTATGTCGGACACTCCGGTGGAGCTGCAAATTGAGAGATGATCCTTCAGATGTCAGAGCAGCTCACAGAACTGCGGGCCCTCTCGCTCCACCCTAATGCAAAGAGATGACCAAAGAAATTGTGTATTACCACTCTAAGCCTCTGCTGACACCCACAATACACCCCTATTGTACTGCGGTTTTAGATAATAGAATTAATTATCTGCAGGCTATTGTGGTTGTCATCTCTCCGAGGTCAATTAATCAAGTGCCACTGTGGGAAGGCGGTAGTGGTCATAGTCCATATGGATAGACTGGTCCCCCACCATGAGAATGTGGAATTGCCGCCAGTGGCGTAGGACTGGTGACAGACAGGGACGAGTTATGGCTGACGCTCTGACGTTGCAGGATTTGGTTAAAAGCTTGTGTCGTTGCGTATTCTGGACGCAGTCTAATCCCTACAGATAGCGACATCTCGAGTACGTATGAGCAGATGAGGCTAGCTTATATCTTCAAGCCATGTACTTGTTTCACGTGGTGTCTCTTCGAACAGCCGATGGCCAAATCCCCATCCTGGTGGATCTTGAAACAACTAAGCAGGCATGAGCCTGCGTAGCGCGTTATCTATGGGAAGGTTGTGGCAGGCTTGGACTGCGGGAGTGGCCAGGAGCTCATAGCACAGCAGCGGATTAGATTTATACGGCATCTCAAAGCTACCGCATCTCAACACGCCTCCGATTAGCGCGGCTGTAAAAAAAAAAAAGCATACGGGCAGCAGAGGGAAGGGATTCACTCTGCACAGAGCTTGGAGCGTGCTCCGCTCATACGCGTGGGGTTTTTTTTCTCTCGAGGTATTGATGTTTCCTCCAACACGTGCCCAACGTTGCACACAACGTGCTCGCCACAAATGAACCACAGCACCTCTTCGATCTCGTCAAAGGGGACATTAAACCATCATCGCGCGAACTCCGCTCATCATCCTCGCAGCAGCAGCAGCAGCGGCAGCATCGCGCGGCGCTTTCCGATGCGCTTCTGCGGCCGTCTGGAACGCTCTTCCTTCCGAGACTAGGAAGCCACTGGAACAGTGCGCTTTTAAATCGTCGTCATCTAAATTGACAAACTCGTTTCTTTAAAACTGCGGTTTGCGTCCGATTTGTTGTCCTTCCAGCGCACCTCCGATTCGTGCGGTTGGGCTACGTACACTGCGAATGGAATGTCAACATAGACACACACACACGCGAAGACTCATCACGTAAGTTGGCCAAACACTCAAACCCGGGTTTGAGTCAAGATTTCAGCCGCCTCTAATTGAACCGAGTTTTCCCACTTGCCCCCTTATTCAGACGACTCGCGCTGGATACGCCTCGTTTTGATGCACGCTCCTTTCATCCAGACCGATCCTCTGCTGCTGCTGCCACTGTACTAAAT